CCTATTGGGGACGTGACGGCGCTGGTCGGCGCGTCATGTCGTGCGGTGTTCCGCAGGGATCGGTCTTGGGACCGCTCCTGTGGAACATCGGCTACGACTGGGTGCTGAGAGGTGAACTCCCGTCGGGCGCCGACTTGACGTGTTATGCGGACGACACGCTCGTCACTGCCCGGGGGAGTTCGTACAGGGAAGCAGCGTTGGTTGCCACGGCTGCGGTGTCACAAGTGGTGAACCGCATCCGGTGCCTGGGCCTGGAGGTGGCCCTAAGTAAGTCGGAGGCCATGGTGTTCCATGGCCCTCGACGCGCGCCGCCGCCGGGTTCACACATCGTGGTCAGCGGGGCCCGGATAGCTGTCGAGTCCACCATGAAGTATCTGGGATTGGTGCTCGACAGCCGATGGGAATTCGGACCCCACTTCCGGCGGCTGGCGCCCAAGCTGATGGGTGCAGCGGGCGCGCTATCAACGTTGCTTCCCAACTTGGGGGGCCCGAGCGCCGCCTGTAGGCGGTTGTACGTGGGAATCGTGCGGTCCATGGCCCTGTATGGGGCCCCTGTGTGGGCGATGGACATGACGGCCAGCACTCTCGCCATTCTGCGTAAACCGCAGAGGGCGATGGCCGTCAGAGTCGTCCGCGGGTATCGCACGATTTCCTACGAGGCGGCTTGCGTCCTGGCCGGATCCCCGCCCTGGGACCTAGAGGCGAAAGTACTCGCGTCATTATATCGATGGCGCGAGGAAGAGCGGGCACGAGGCTCGAGGCCGGTGCAGCGGCAGATCGCGCTGCGCCGAGAGGAGCTCCGTCAGGTCTTGGTGGCGGAATGGCGGCAAAGGCTTCTGCGCCCTACCGCCGGCCTCGCTACCGTCGAGGCGATCCGGCCAGTACTCGACGACTGGCTCGGGAGAAGGCACGGCTCCCTGTCGTTTAGGGTGACGCAGGTGCTGTCGGGGCATGGCTGCTTCGGCAAGTACCTGCGCCGCATAGACAGGGAGCCGGACGCTCGGTGCCACCACTGCGTCCATTGCGGGGAGGACACGGCGCAACACACGCTCGCCGAGTGTGTAGCTTGGGAGGAGCAGCGCCGTGTCCTCACAAATAAAGTAGGAGGCGATCTGTCGCTGCCGGCCTTAGTGCGGAAGATGGTCGGTAGCGCAGAGTCGTGGGATGCGGTGGTGTCCTTCTGCGAGGACGTGATGTCGCAGAAGGAAACTGCGGAACGGGAAAGGGAGATCTCGACTCCCTTTCCTGGCCGCAGAAGGCGCACCGGGCGCAGGAGAAGGGCGGACAACGCCCTTTTCCGGCCCCCATAAATGGGTCCAGGGGCGAGGGACTTGGGGAAGCCCCCGCCACCCCTACTCGATAGACCCGAGGTGGAGGCGCGCGCGGGTGTCGGTGCGCGCCCCTGAGGCGATACACGGGGTAGTTTAACACCTCACTACCCCGTGCAGGAGACGAGGCCTGGACGGACCGGGCCAGCACTAGTGTGGGGCTGCGGAAGAATTTGGATTCCCGCGGCCCCACGCGCACGTGTGAGGAGACACCGGGGTGGTTTTAGCCGGTAAGAGTCCGGCACGCCCCTCCGCCTTTCCCCAGGCGGAGGTAGTCCATGAGGATTTCCCCCCGTAAAAAAAAAAAAAAAAAAAAAAGGTTAGGTTAGGTTAGGTTAGGTTAGGTTAGGTTAGGTTAGGTTAGGTTAGGTTAGGTTAGGTTAGGTGTTCTGGTGCGCCTTACCTGAGAGGGAGGTGGGGGAGGAGTGGTCCTCTCCCGAGGAGGGGCCGCCATTGGGCGGCCAGCGCAGGTGGGGCCGCGGAAGTGTGCGAAAGCGTTCCCGTGGCCCTGCCAATATGCGACGAGGTTGGAACACCATGGGGTTTTAGTCGGTGCGAGTCCGACATAACCCGTCCTTGCCCCCGCGAGGCGAGTATGCGTAGGCATTTCCCCATGTAAAAAAAAAAAAAAAAAAAAAAAAAAAAAAAAAAAAAAAAAAAAGGTTAGGTTAGGTTAGGTTAGGTTAGGTTAGGTTAGGTTAGGTTAGGTTAGGTTAGGTTAGGTTAGGTTAGGTTAGGTTAGGTTAGGTTAGGTTAGGTTAGGTTAGGTTAGGTTAGGTTAGGTTAGGTTAGGTTCCCCCCCGAACGGGTTCCCGCCTTGTCCCCCCCGAACGGGTTCCCGCCTTGTCGTGGCGGGGGGGCTTAGTAGCCGTGGCTTGGTCAACCACGGTGAACGAAGAGGAACCCCTTGGCTGGCCCGAGGTGTAGGGCCGGCCCGAGGTGGCCGCTCCGAGTGGGCTTGGGAGGCCCACTTCGGATGTGTGTCGGGGGGCTGTGGTGAGAGGGGAGTCCGCAACCCTCTACCGCTGCAGCCGAGGTGGAGTCGCGGAGGAAGAGGAGTGTTGGTATGGCGATGCGCCACTCGCCCTATCCTCCGCGACTCAGACGGGGCCGCACCGTTGAATGATGCGGTGGTGGTGGGGCTGCGGGGGGAGAGGAGTGTCGGTATTGCGAGGCGCCGCTCTCCCTACCCTCCGCAGCCGAATCTTGGTTGGCGGCGGAGCCATAGACCAGATCCGCCGCTGGGGTCGGGAAGGCTGGTGCTTCTTAGTGCTAGTTTTTCCTGGCCCCATGGCCTTCGCGCATCGGACACGGGGGCGTCTGTTGCGCATATGAAATTGGAGGCCGAGGAGGAGGGCGCGCCATGTGTTCTGGCGCGCCTTACCGGAGAAGGAGATGGGGGAGGAGTGGTCCTCTCCCGAGGAGGGGCCGCCATGGGGTGGCCGGCGCAGGTGGGGCCGCGGAAGTGTGCGAAAGCGTTCCCGTGGCCCTGCCAATATGCGACGAGGGTGGAACACCATGGGGTTTTAGTCGGTGCGAGTCCGACATAACCCGTCCTTGCCCCCGCGAGGCGGGTATGCGTAGGCATTTCCCCATGTAAAAAAAAAAAAAAAAAAAAGGTTAGGTTAGGTTAGGTTAGGTTAGGTTAGGTTAGGTTAGGTTAGGTTAGGTTAGGTTCCTTCCTGCTGGCGTAAATATCGTATGCTATGCCGATGATACACTGGTGGTCGCCAGCGGGGTCACCTTCGAGGGGACCAAGGAGCTCGCTGAGCTTGGGACGGAAGTCGTCGTCGCCAAAATCCACGAGTTGGGTCTAGAAATAGCGCCTCATAAGACCGAGGCCTTATGGTTTCACAAATTACCTCGGAGCAGGGAACCACCCGACTCGTGCGTCTACGTGGGTGGGTCTGTAGTCAGAGTGGGGCGGTACATGAAGTACCTAGGGCTCCACCTAGACAGTCGCTGGGGCTTCGAAGAGCACTTTGAGCGCCTAGTCCCCCGGATTGAGAGGGTGGCGGGTGCTATGCACAGACTGCTGCCCAATCTAGGGGGACCGCGGGAGGAAATACGCCGCCTCTATGCGGGGGTAGTACGATCCGTAGCCTTATACGGGGCACCTGTGTGGGCGAAAAGGCTAGCCATCCGGCGCTGTAGATCTAAAATCTACAGTGTCCAGCGGAGGATGGCTATACGGATCGTGCGGGGATACCGCACGATATCTTTTGAGGCGGCAACAGTCCTGGCTCGCTTCCCACCCCTAGATATACTGGCGGATATGGATGCGAGGGTGTACAACCGAATCCGCATCCTCCGTCAGAGAGGTGGCAGTGAGCCAGATGAGGCGCTCAAGTCTATAAAACGGCAGGAGCGACAGAACGCTTTAGCGATGTGGCGCACTCGACTTAACGAGGAGCGCTATGCACGCAAACGCGTTATTGGCGCAATCCTGCCGGTCTTCGAAGCCTGGATGCAGCGACGAGTAGGAAGACTCACCTACAGACTTACACAGATAATTACCGGGCACGGGTGCTTCGGTGATTATCTGTGTAAGATCGGACGCGAAGCGACGGCGAACTGCTTCCACTGCGGTGGACAGGATCAGGACTCCGCGTCCCATACGCTGGCGGTATGTCCAGCGTGGGAACGGGAGCGAATGATCCTGGCAAACCGGGTCGGTCGGGACCTCTCCCTGCCAGCAGTCGTGTCGGCGATGTTGAGCGGGGACTCGGCGTGGAGGGCCGTAGCCAACTTCTGTGAGTCCGTCATGGTCCAGAAGGAGGCTGCTGAGCGGGATCGGAGGAGGACAGATCCCACTCGGAGACGACGTCATCAAGGCGTTCGTCACGGCCCTCCCTCTGAAGATGGTGTTCCCCTACCAGAAACGGGGCCTCTGGGGTTGCAGGCGTTTGGAGCGGGGGCCTCGAATGCCTAGTAACGTAACCCCCGAGGAGGACGATGGCTCGGAAGTGGTCCCGAGACATCGTGATAGTACTGCGAGGGTGCTGGGGGTAGTAAGTTCTGCCCCTGGGACGTGCTTCCAATAAAGCGAAGCGAGAGAGGGGCCCCGGTTGTGTTCCGAACGGAGATCCCGGGACCCCTCGTATACGCTGATGGAGACCACCGTGGGGTTTTAGCCGGTAGGAGTCCGGCATAACCTTCCGGTTGCCCCCGCAGCCGGAGGTATCCATGAGGATTTCCCCACGAAAAAAAAAAAAAAAAAGGTTAGGTTAGGTTAGGTTAGGTTAGGTTAGGTTAGGTTAGGTTAGGTTAGGTTAGGTTAGGTTAGGTTAGGTTAGGTTAGGTTAGGTTAGGTTAGGTTAGGTTAGGTTTTTTTTTTTTTTTTTTTTTTTTTTTTTTTTTTTTTTTTTTTTTTTATTATTCTGATTCCCCTGACATGGAAATCAAGGACTTTTTCTTCTTTTTTATTATATTTTCTTTTTTGTTTGTTTTGTCCTTATTATTTTGTATTAATTTTTATGCTTTTTTATTCATTTTTTCTTGTTCTTTATTTCTTTTTTATGTTTTTTCCTTTTTTCTTATCTTATTAATTATAGGTACATTTATTTCTTGCTACTGCTTATTACTAACTAACTATTCTTATTTCTATTTATTGTGGGCTGTTACATTATATATTTTTATATATATTTTGTACAATTTCCCTTATTACTACTCTTATTTATTTTTATTTACAACTTTATTTGCTATTTTCTTACAGTAACTTATAAACCTATTTCTTACATGCTTATTACTTATAATTTTATGTATATTTTCTTTATTTATCTTACTTTCTATCTCTAATTCTATATCTAATCGCTCTTTTCCATAAATAGGGCACTCCGTTATCAGGTGAATAATTGACTCCTCCTTCTCTGGATCACAGATACACGACGGGCTCTCTTTACATTTGAATTTATACAGATATTCAGAGAACCCGCCGTGTCCTGTCATCACCTGTACCACTATGTGATCCATTTCTATTTTCCTTATAATCGGATATGCACTCAAGGCATCCGGGAAAAATACCTTGGTGGTGGAAGCAGTTCTTCCTTCTATATATGTACGATTCCATTCGTCAAGCGATTCCAGACGTATCTGACGCTTGACGAATGACACCGGACATTTCCCGTAGTGAGGCCTACACTTACTTTTAATTGCGGCTTCTTTAGCTAGTAGATCTGCTCTCTCGTTTCCCTCCAACCCTGCGTGTGCTTTGACCCAGTAAAGTTTAAGGGATTTCCCTTGTTTGTCTAGTTTGTTGATATTTTCTCTTATTTCTACCGCTATAGGATGGAGGGAAACGTTTTGGACGACTGTCTGAAGAGCAGATCTAGAGTCGCTATATACATTACAGCTCTCTGCCGGGTCCTTAAGAGCATGCCTGCTTGCTTCCAATATGGCCAGCAACTCAGCCTGGAAGACGGTGCAAAAATTTTCCAACTTTAATTTTCGGTGACTTGTCTCCGCCGCGTTATTCCATATGGATAACGCAGCGCCGACTTTACCGTCAATCCTACTGCCATCAGTATAGATTTTTAGGCCTTTGTTGTCGTGTTGGTCCATTTGTGCACCGTCCCCCAGACTTATGAATTGGAGGCCATGCTGGTCCGCGGGGTGTGGTGTCCTGTCAAATTCTACTTTTCTTTCCATTTCTCTGTCTCCTACCACTCGCCGGGAGTAACCTTTCTTTATCTCATAAAGTAAGGCCGCTTCCCGGACTCTCAGGTCCAGAGGAAGCAGCCCGGCGAGTAGTAGGGCCGAGTGCAGAGACACAGTTTTATATGACTTGATGATTTTCTGTACGAACCCGCGTTGTACCGCATCGAACTGTTTTTTAATTAGCCGTTTATTTGTTGCCGGTGACCAGGCGCTTGCCGCATACATGATGATTGGCTCCACTACCGCGATGTAGATGGTCCTAATAATCTCGGAGTTCAGGCCCCAGTGTACCTTTGCGGCTCTGCACAGCTGACGGTATACGTTTTGTGCCTTACAGCACACATTCTTCACGTGCGTGTTGAAAGTTAGCTTATTGTCAACCGTGAGGCCGAGTATTTTTATCTCCTTTGACATTACAATGCTTTCCCCACCCATCTTCAGAAGTGGCGAGTCATATTTGGTCTTGTTTGTGATAACCATTGCTTTAGTTTTTTGTGGTGCGAATTTTAACTTATTTTTGACTCCCCACTTCTGAACATGTGCGAGGGCTGCATTGGCTCTCTCCTGCACTTCCAAAGCCTTGTCTCCCGAGAATATTAGGACCACGTCGTCCGCGAAAGCCTGACAGTACTCCCCTCTATTAGTTAACTCTTTGAGGAGTGGGTCCAACAGAAGGTTCCAGAACAGTGGACCACCTATCGAGCCCTGCACGCACCCCTTCGTGGTCTTTTTGACCCATTCCGCCCCTGAATATTTGATGGATACAGATCTATCATTAAGGTAACTATCTACTAGTCTCCTGATGTTTATGGGGCTTCTGGTTTCTGCAAGTGCACATCGTACTGCAGGCCACCAGGCGTTATCGAAGGCTCCCTCTATGTCCAACGATACTAATACAGTCAATTTTTTATTATTGACGTTTGCTTTTATAAGCTGTATCATGTCATAGAGGGAGTCCTCGGTGCTGCGCTGTGGCATAAAACCATATTGTTTTTTGCTTAGTTTGGGTACGATGTGCCACTTGATTCTCCGTACTAACATTTTTTCTAAGATTTTTCCTAGCACAGGCAGTAGCCCAATCGGCCTGTATGACTTGGGGTGCGTGTAGTCCTCTTTCCCAGGCTTTCGCAGAACTACTACCGTCGCCTCCTTCCATTTTTTGGGGAAATGTGCCAGCTTCAAACACTTGTTGGCTAGTGCCAAGAACAGTGGTGGGTCCAGGGCAATGGCCGCTGCGCAGATATCGGCTGTGAGACCATCATTTCCTGGAGCTTTTTTCGGGTTAAAGCTGGACGCGGCCCACATAAGCTCCTCTACTGTAAAAGGTGGGTCACTTGAATCATCAACTGACCCTACGTTTACTATTTCAGCTGCTTCCCTAATAAGCTTGTGTTCCGCGTCATCCTCCTGGGTGTTGTCGTCCGGATAGATGGTCTCCGCCAAGAATCTTGCTGATTCTGCATTGTCCAGAGTCATCCCCTCTCTTACAAGGGGGATATCTTCGTGTCTCTGAGTTGTGCGGCCTATTACCCTGTAGATCCCATCCCACATAGATTCGCGATCTTGTTTGCTACAGAAATCCTTCCAGCTGGCGGTCTGTGCGTTCTTTACTTGTCGTTGGTACTCCTCTTTTGTTTTGATATACTGCTCGACGACCCATTCTCGGCGTACTGGTGCTGCACACGAAATTCTGCGTTTCATCCTGGAGACTTCCTTTTTTCTCTGAGTCAACTCTTCGGTCCACCAAGGCAATCCCATTCGTTTTATGTTTTTAATTTTGGATATACTGCTTTCGCAAGTTTCTAATATTGATTCAGTGTATTCTATTATTTTCGTTTCAAGTTCTTCTCTATTTTCTATTTTTTCTATCTGTATGTTATTTATTTGTTTTAATTGACAAATCTGGGTGAGTTTCTCACGAAACTCACTCCAGTTTGTCTTTTTCGTGTTAAATTTTCTAGTAGTTCTCTTTATATCTGTACTAATTGATTTTTCTAAATTTATTTCGAAAAGGATTGCCCTGTGATCCGAACTAGTTACTTCTTCTGAAAGTCTCCAGTTATCAATCCTCCCGAGTAGGCTCGTCGAGCAGGTTGTCACATCCACACAGCTGGAGAATCTCCTCCCGCCTCTGATCGTATCAAATGTGGGCTCTGTACCTCTGTTCAAAATGTGGAGCTCTAATTGGTCTAGTTTGGCAGCTACTTCGATCCCCCGCTTATCTGTCTCCCGGCTTCCCCACCAAGTACTCCAAGCGTTTATGTCTCCACCGAGTATCACGTTCCCAGTTCCTAGGCCAGCTACGGCTTTCTCTATCGCGTCCAGGTAAGGATCGACTAATTTGTCCCCCTCCAGGTAGACGGACACCACTCCCATCTCCCAGGCCCCTGTCCTCAGTTTGGCTACTGCTACGTTTTCTGTTGTAAGGTCAGGGCACTGGGTTATGCCTATGGTGTCGTCGAATAGCACAATGGCTGCCTTTATCACTTTGTTCGTGTTTAGGCTTCTGCTGCATTGTACTACTCTTGTCCCTGGATGGGTCTTCATTTCGCCGATACTTCCGATGTATGGTTCCTGGACTAGGGCAAACGTTGTCTTGTTTTTTGTTGCCTCGATGATTAGTTCGGCCGTAGCTAGCTCGCTCCTCTGGAGGTTTGCCTGGATAACGTGATAACGGTGGTTACTTGTGTTTGAGTCCCTATTCAGTCTGGAGCCCACCTCAACAATACGCCACAGTGGACCTTGCCAATGTCTCCCATTTCCTTCTTATGGGACAGTCTACACTGAACGCATTGTGATCTTTCCTCTCCATTTTTGCCTTAAGGCAGTTCCTGCATGAGGGCATTTCGCCCGAAAGCCAATCTGCACATTCTGCCTTAAGGTGTGGGCCCCCGCAGTGACTACAAACATCTGTTGTGTCACTACATAAACGCTTGGTATGCCCGTACCCCAGGCACCGCGAGCACTGTATCAGAGGGGACTGATCCTCCACTCTTACCCTCTGGAGGTCAATATGGATCAAACCCACCTCCATTAGGTTGTTCCATAGCTGAGGTGACACTCTCACCACAATATGTGTTGTGTGTGGGTTTCTGGATTTTCTCCTATATTTGACCTCCATTCTGTTTTCATTTCCCTCTATATTTTTGAACAGCTGCTTGTTCTGTACCTTTATAGCTTTTATAATTTCTTCATCTGTGTTATACTGAAGCACGTCCTTCAGTATAACCAGTGGATCCTTATTCTTTATTTCGTCAACATTCAAGCTCTTACTGACGTTCTTTATCCTCTCCTTTACCCTATTTAATTCCTCCTGGGTGCAACATCCCACTATCACTTTCCTATCTCTTGCTTTTCTGATCCTATCTATTTTTATCCCTTCTTCCTTGGCATTTATTACTGTTCTTATCCGGTCCATCACTTGCTCACCCGTTTCCTTCTCATCCGTCGATGTTATCGCTACCGAGTGCATGGTCGTGTTGTGCGGTAGCTGTCTCCTCGGTGGTCCTGCCAGTATACTTGCATAAGTTCCTTTCTCTTCCTTACTTTCATGCTTTTTTAACTCTTCTCTAAGTTTTTCCATTTCATTCTTGTTTTCTTCCAAAAGTTTGCCGTGTTCTTCGAGCTTCTTTATTATTTTATTATGTTCTTCTGGCTCTCTATTTTCCTGGTTATCCACCGATTTGTCGTCTTTCTTCTCTTGTTCTTTTATTTTCTTTTCTTTACCTATGTTTTTACCTGCCTCTGCTTCCTTTACCAACTGGTAGAGTCTATCAATCGCCTGGGTAACCTCAGTTTTTATGTCTGTCCTGAGGTTACGCGAGTTGTTCAGATGCAATTTTGCCTTGTTCAGGCAAGCCCTTGCTTCCGTCAGGCGATCTATGTATTTTGTTGTTTCCGTTTTTGGTGATTGTTCGGTAGACTCTACCAAGACTCTACGTGTTGCCCCTCTTGCTTCTTGTGGTTGTGATGTTGCGATTTTATGTTTCTGGCGCGTCACCAGGACTGACTTTTTGGGTGAGGTTTGTTTTCCACTTTCCACGTCTGCTTTTGTTGCCTCCCACTCTCCGATGCTTCTCCTAACACTACTTACTGTTACCGTTTCATTTAGTTTGGGGGATGTTTCAGTCCCCTCTGTCCCTTTTGGAGAGCCTTGCATACTGTCCTCTGTCTTTTTGGAAGGAGTGCGGAAGCCAAACATTGTCAGGGGAACGCGTCCTCGTTACGTAATATAATTTATAAATTTCCACAAAATAAAATTTTGTAAAGTTATAAAATTAAAAAGTTTGTATAAGTTATATAAATTTTTTAGTTCGATACGGCTATAGTGAGTTCGTACAGTGGTATCTAAAATATCCGACTACTGTGATAGATTTTTAATCATTTAATGTAGAGTCTCTATGTAGAGTTGCTCTACTATCTCCAAATCTATTTAAATATTTATTAATAACACACTCTATTTCAAATAATTTCCTTCCAGCAGAAAAAGTAAGTTGTATAAATTGAGTTTTTAAGAGAAATAAAGAGAAGATAATATTGAATTAATATGCAGTTCGACAAAACCACCACGAACCTTAGTCAGGCCTCATAGAACACAAATAAACAATGTAACACAATAATATAAAAATAAAACTAAAAATAAATTAAAATAAAAATGTAAATTTCTTTTTGTAGAGTCCCGACTCTACGTCGTTGTATATTAACACCACTCTACAGGGTGGCTCTACGTCTATATTTAAATTAATTTCAAAGCCTATCCAAAATTGTAGATATCTGTATGGCTCTATGTAGAGTCTGTTGTAGGTATTAAGGTCAGTATATTAAGGAAATTATAATACTATACAATAAAGTAAGAATAAATCTAATTTAATACAATAAAAATAGAAAATTTTTTGCTCGACAAACTGTTGGCTCTATCAAGAGTCTGGTCTTATCTTCTACTTCTACTTATCTCTATTTCAATATTAAAAAATTTTTTAAAATTATTTTTCCCTAAAAATTTTCCTGCTCTACGTAGAGTCGTCTCTATCTCTATCTTATTCTATGAACTACACACTTAACAGATACGGTTCTTAATTCTAAATGATCAATAAAATAAAAATATAAAAAAAAACAAAGACACAAAAATATTTTAAATGCTCTATGTAGAGTCCGTCCCCCTCTAATTTGTTAGGTCTTTAATTATATTATTTTATACAAAAAACCCCGTCCGGATCGGATCACTGGTTAATTTATTATAACGATTTAAAGTTTTTCATCCCCCAGAGACTAAGTCAATATGTCAACTTTGGGGTAGGGGGATGAAACTTTGTCCAAATGATCCGGGAGGGTCCGAAGACTATCCCTTTAGTGGATAGTGTGGGGGGGGGTTAGAAGGGGGGGTTAGGGGGGGGGGGCCCGAAAAAATTGTCAGAATTGAGCTAGGAGGCTCCGTTCTCCTGAAAACTGAAAAACAAGTTTTCGTGCGGTTTGCAGGACCTCCCAGCTCACACAAATAAATTTATAACTTAGAAACTACTTATCCGAAAATTCTGAAAAAATTATGGTAGATAATGTATTAGTTGGTGTATTATAATTTATAATTACTAAATTTTGATTCCTGAAAAAATTTTGAGTTTTAGAATTTTGAAAATTGTGTAACGAAAACCAACAACCGCAAAAAGGCTCTAAATCTTGTAAATATGTCGGGACAATTTTGAAAAAATTTTGGAATATAGTATGTATGATAACTAAATTTCTGACAATATTTTCAGGAATGTCCCGAGGGTCCTTCAGCCACCACGTGTTTGGACCTAAATTTTAAAAAATTCCTTAATATTACTAAATTCACTCCAAATTTAAAAATTTTTACACAATAAGTTAAAACTAAAGTTCCTCTTTTAATTATAGTCTATAAATATATATGCCGTCACTGAAAAACCAGAGTTATTCACCTTTGAAAGTCCCTCCTGAAAATCGGTATCTTCAAGGCGTGATATCTCCGGTGTTTCTGGTCCGATTTTGCTGAACGAGGTGTCGGATGCTTTGCCTCGATGTCCTCTTTAATTCTGCGATGTCAAAATTAGCCGCACGGCCTCCTATCAAAAAACACGTGTCCACGTGGTTTTTGTTTTCCGAAATTATTTCGGCGCGCTGATGTCGAAAAATTCCGATGGATGGCTTAAATTGTTAAGCTCGTCGGGGCACTTATTTTTGCACTTTAAAAACTATATGTCTTCGATCTAGATCGAGCAGCGTTACACTTTAAAGATTTTAAAGGTTAGAAAAATCAGTTTTTTGGCGATAACTTTTAAAATATAAAACTTTTATTACTTGTTTATTATATCACTTTGTTCGTCTCGACGAGACGCGTCTAATGGTGTATCACACTTTAAAATTGGTGCACTTTGACCCGACACTTTGAATTTTCGAGCGCGGAGCGATACAAATTTGCTGCGTACGGCACGGCGTTTGGAGTGCAACTGGGGGTTAGGTTAGGTTAGGTTAGGTTAGGTTAGGTTAGGTTAGGTTAGGTTCCCGTGTGGAGTTGCCAGAGCTCCCATCGGGCGCGTCCCCAGGTGGCGGATAGGGGAACGCCACTCAGATATGGGTGGTAGCGGGAAACCGCCGCGGACCAAAACTGGCCGGGTATGGGCGTACCCGTGGTTCCAATAGAACCAGAAACGGCCGGGGCTTAACACCCTAAGAGACGGGCCTTCACAGGCTTGTTGTTGCTCTCGGTATCGCTCTTTGATTAGAGCGAACACGGGATGCAACACACGCGGCGATGTGCCAAGCGCACCAATGCTGGGTGACCCCGCGCGGTAATGTGCCAAGCGCACCGATCCCGGGCGATCTCTGTGCGGCGATGTGCCAAGCGCACCTATGCCGGACAACCCGTAAGCCCACTAGGGCCCGGGGGCCCCCGCAGGGCCGCGAGGAAGACAACCTCTACAAAAATAACCCTAATCCTAAGGTCTAAGGTGCCGATGGGATGAATGGCTGGGGGGGAGCCCAGTCCCAAGCCTATGGGAGGGGGGATTCAGGGACCATACCCTGTAAAAAAAGGAAAACTATGACATGCAGTGCGACAAGAAAAATACTCCCCAGGGTGGTCCTGTCAACCCTGTTGTTGGCGGGGAATCCACCCCCAGTAGCCTAACTAGGCTCTGTGGCAGCCCCAACGTATCTGGGGGGGGCAATCCGCTGCATTGCGGTGATGCACCAGCGTTAACCGCGGGCCCCATAACATCAGAGGGCCAATCTCAAAAAGCAGGAGCCGTGTCGGAGACACCACCAATATCGGCACGAGACAAGCGTGGGCGTTTTAAGCGACCTAACACTACAAGCAGTCAGGCCGGTGAGAGCGACGCTGATGGTGGGTCTGATGGCTCGTTCGTGTCGCTCACATCGGTAGGAGGTCGAAAACGAAAAGCGAAGCCTCCGAGTACGTCAGTTGTGGCGGCTAAATTCACGGCGGTCCCAGTTGCAGCCTCTGGAGGAGAGAGTGCGACAGGGGCTGAAACAGAAGAAGACCTATTTGATCCTTTCATAACACCCACTAACACCAGGGCAAAGAAGAACCTTCCGGGCCCGGAAACGTTAGCCCGTGAAATGCGTTCTCACGGAGACGTGGAACTCAGTCGGGATATTGATTTTCACCTCCAAGTTCTAGAAAAAGTTGCCGATCGATCCCGTAACCTCAAAGGAGAGTATGTTCGTGGCAT